TTAATGACTTGTGAGTGATTTTAATTGTGTTTTTAATGGTGATTTGGGTGGTTGTTTTGTGTTGTTTTTGTGCCTTGTGTAGGAAAGGCGCTTTACAAATTAAGATGGATTGAGATATCACACTAGTTATAAACATGTAGTTTCTTAATAATATAACAATATATTCATAGTTAACTAGTATTTTGGGTCTACATATTTCATGTTTTTTGTAGATTAAAATATGTTTACCCCAGCATTAATCCTAGACGAGCTAAATCAATTGATCTATTTCTTTATCAATAAAAAGACACTTCAGTAATTCCTTCTGTTCCTGGTTGTATTTTCAGTCCTTGAACAGGTTGTCTACTAAAAGCTTAAATGATAAATGGTACATTAAAAAGAGTGACGATACACATCTTCAGTGGTATGCACAACTAAACTTACCACATTTCTCCTACTGACCTATATTATATTAGAATACTTGGGTCTGGATTTAGAGCCCACTTTTAGCAACGAGACAAACAAGATTTGGCTTGACCCTGACACAGGCGGGGTCTGTCCTAATATTGCCGTCAGCCCGACAAATACGCAGTAAGGCAAGGCAAGTTCATTTAATTGGTTGTGGGTTCCCTAAAACCTAAAACCTTTGGATCAGGTCCAAGGTCTAGGCCTGGGCAATAATGGATTCAAAGTTACATTTCAACAGCTAAAATCAAATCAGTAACATCAGTAGCTTTTTACCATCTGAAAAACATGATCAGAATCAGAAATATATAGTCTCTAAAGCAGAGTTTAGACGCTGGAGATTGTTATTTCATTTTTATCCTGCATTTGTCTCCAGTACAGTAGATCGCAGCCTGCTCACTGGGATCTCCAAAGAAGATGTAAAACTACTATAAAACTATTCAAAATGCTCCAGAGCCAGGGAGTATGAGCCGGTTCCTATCGGACTCTCTGACCTGAAGTCCTCTCCCATTAGTCCTGGTCTCAGGTCTCTGCATTGGCTCCAAGATGTGTAAGATTTTACAGACATTGAGATTATTTATGTTTTTTGTATGTTATCTTAATGATTAATTTCTCATTTTGAAAAGCACTCGAGTTCCCCTTGTGTATGAATTGTGCTAAACAAATAAACTTTCCGTGTCTGTGATATGTTTTCTCAACCCGAATGAAGCTGAAGTAAAGCGGCTGGAGAACGTTTGAACCCAACACACTTACATGGGTTGAAGTCGCTACATCAGGGGTGCTCAATACGTGGATCGCGATCTACCAGTCGATCGCAAAGGTAGTATTGGTAGATCGCCTTACATAAAAATGTTTTTTTGATATTTATGCATTTGCGTGTAGACAGAGATAACCGGAGTTTTGCATTTTTGAACGCCACAGTATGCTCCCAACCAACAACAGACAAAACGTGCGATCTCTGATCACTGAAGCATGGATCTTAAGCCTAGCGTACATCGGACTGGCAACTGATTATATCCGTCGCATATGAGTTGCTGCCCCGCACACATCGACAATCTGACGAAAACGGGCAACTCCCAGTATCAGACCAGTCTCGGGAATAACAGCGCGTACATCGACAGCAACTGGCCTCAACTACAGTGTGTTTTCTGACATAAACTGTTGCGGGCTCGCAATACACGCAATACACACACGTTGTCGGAGCGGCGCATGGAGCGCGCACATCGGGTCATATCTCCGAAACTGAGGACAACTAGTTGCCAAAAAGTAGAACACGGGCAACTGACTGAAACTGGAGACCGACTGTTTATCTCCAGTTGTAAGAGCGCGCACATCGACCGATTTCAGCAACTGATCATCTCCCACCATCTCCTCTCAGTTGCCAAAAGCCGCCTTGCAACTAGTTGTCCCCAGTTTCTCTGTCGATGTACGCTAGGCTTTACTGCCCTAAAAACTGTCGACAGACAGAGGGGCTGAAACTTGTTCCAGCTGTCAAGAGTATACCCCGCAGGTGAAGTCCCGTCCGGGCACACGGGCTCTCCAGACCCACGCTTACGTGTTGAAAAGATAGAATCAATTGCGTTGAGGGACCAGTTAATCATTTCCATTCTTGTTAAAGTTGTCTGTGGCAAAACTCCAGGAAAAAGACAAAAACAGGAGATAGCAGGCAGTCAGAAGCAGGAGCGGTCTGAGACACGTCTTTGCTCGACGGAGGAGGAAGGAGGAAGGATTTTACAGATATTGCTTATCCCGTGTCAATGCACTGCAAAATCTCAAACGTCCTCCGTGATTATCACAAATTATCAGGGGTCCACAGGTAATACTAATCCTGTGGGAGTAAACAAACTTGTTTCACTTACGGGTAATCGATTGACGCCGAAACGTATTAAATACATATTAAAAAAAGGTTAATTATTGCATTTTCTAGTTCCCAAATCTGTTTATTATATCTATGTCTTATAAGCAATGAAAAAAACCAAAATGGTAATTTTTGTATATTGCTGTGTGCCTGAAAATGCAAAATGGCCATTTTTTGATTTTCCATTTCCCTTCAAAAATAGAAAATGTATGGAACGCAAAAGTACACGGTAACCTTGCCTGCAAGCTGAATTCTCGCGGTATTTGTGAGTTCACAAACACTCGAGAATACATCTTGCCCCGCTCCCGCCAACCCTTTTAGAGTAGAACATCTAGGTGTTCAAGCCAATCACGCGCCAGTCTGGGGGTTTAGGGCGGGATATCCGGGTTTGACGAAGTGCCGAAGCAAAACAAACATGGCTACGCAGGAGGACGGACGCGTAGCTGAGGCTATCAAGTCAGTTTTAGCAAAATCTCCAATTTCTTTTTTGAAAAATGAACAGCGAGAGGCGCTTTGTGCATTTCTGGACGGCAAAGATGTTACCGGGATTGGTTAAAGTCAAACCTTGGTAGGCGGGCACACAGCGTCACTTCGCCCAATCAGCTTGAAGTATTCTGCTGCTTATCTCTCCTTTCCCCCGAAAGGATTCTCCTGCAGAAGTCCCAGATTGATATTGTGGAGAACGCATTAGAGTTCTACACAATCATCAATCTGGCTCTTGCCAGGTTAAGTACACAGACCCTTCACCCTGAGTTTCTTCTATGACTGTAAAAGTGCTGCTACAAAAATACTGGTGTATGCATCAAAGCTCCGCCCACTTCTGTGTTTTTTCCCCAACGCAGGACGTCAGAGGACGCACATGTTTGGAATGTTATGTCATTAAAAAGGCAGAGGTTTGGTTATGTGTGGATGCAAATTATTTCATAAATCATGCGGTTTTGCATGTACATCAACATACATCATAGATACAAAGAATCCTCAATATATTTAGAAATAAATATATGTTTTGCAGCAAGAAATAAGCACAAAATCTATCTCTGACTTTAGCATAAAAGGAAGCAGGTAAAAAGTCTATATAACTAGCATATTAAATCAAGTATAAAAAAATTTATATTCTAGTGCAAGAAATGTATAGTAGAGTGCAAAATGTTTGTATTTCAACTAGACAATATTCACAATGCATTAGAGAGCACAGGAAGAAGCAACAGCAATATTAGAACGGGTATTAAATATTAGAACGGGTATTAGGACCGATATTGGGTACTCACACATGTTTTGTTCTGCAAATTAAAGAGGAGGCTATCAGAATTGTTACTGCAGCATCTCAGATTGTGTGAAAATAAAAGGATTAAAGTAAACATCAACAATCAAGTTGATTAAACATTTTCTTTAAAAATGTTTAATCAACTTGTTTTCCCTCTCTTTACGCCATGTTACGACATCGATCCTCATCAGTCACAGACCCGGAGTTGTTTTTAGATCCATCCAAACAAACATAAAGTTTCAAACATGGATCTATAATAATAACTGGATAGGGTATTACTAGCTTACAGCTGTCCCACCTATGGGCACAGGGGGCGCCAGTGGTACTGCAGACTAAATTCACGTGGGCTACCCAGAAATTTTCCCCATAGATCTCAAAGTAAACTAAAACAGCTCGACCTCAGCTGACAGAGAACCTACAGCTTTCATAAAGATCGGATTTTGTGGGGATTTTAGTGTCCGTTGTCATCCTGAACTTGTTTTCTTTAAATCCACACTTTACTGCCACAAACTCTGCTCCCTGCCTTCCCGCTCTGGCTCCGCTCTTCCGCTGCTCTGATGAACAGCTTTGATTGGTCAGAGCACGGCCGAGCCCCTGTGTGAATGTGCATGAAAACCACACATGCACGTTTGGCGCAACGCATCATGGGAGCTCGTCCACTGCTCAGAACCGGGAGGACCAGATGATGCCCAAATATAGGCAAGTTCTGCTAATCTCCCAGTCTCCATGAAGTCCCATGCGCTACTGAGCACAAGCCATTCATTTGGATCACCGGGGCTTGGTCTCAAACCACTATGACATGTGGAGAGAAGTTTTCTACCTTTTAAAACAAAAGAATTTCCCATAAATTTGTTTTGTATTTTCTCAGGTTTACAGCAAGTAAATAGTCTTATTATGATTTTAATGGCCAAAAATAATGCAGGATACTTTTTCTTGAATCATTGTTTTACTATTTTGTATATTCATATTTATAGTAAGTAAGTAAGTAAGTAATGTTTATTTATATAGTGCATTTTACAGACCAAGGTCACCCAAAGCGCTTTACAATGTTCAGAGTTTAGATATTGTTCCAATCATTCCACATTATTCAAATTATTGTCACAAAAGAGAGATTCAGATCATTTGTGTGGATATCTATACTAATATATTTTACTAAACTACAACAACAGGAAATATATGTTGCAACTAAAATATACATTAAGTTTTCTTAGACCAGATAAAAGGATGAATTGTTCCTATTGGTCTGATTTAGAATGGTCATTATCTGTTGTCCCGTCCCAATGCAAATTTGGCTTGATGGTTTTTGGACCTTAGATCATGCAAAGGTCTCTCCTGAAGATTATTCCAGCCATGATTTGCAACGGTAAACTACTGCTGCTGCTGCTGCTGCTGCTTTCAATCACATTTGGGAAATACATTTATGTTCCAAAGGGAATGTATTGGGACAAAGCTCAGGACCACTGCCGCAGTGTTTACACCGACCTGGCACCCGTCAGTAACAAACACGACATGGACTTATTTCTCGACGACGATCGGATTAACAACCGGAGTTTCTTTTGGATTGGACTGATGCGAAACCCGAATAATAAAGATCAATGGTTGTGGTCAGGAGGTGGCGAGGTGCGAGAGAACCAATCCTTCTGGCTTCCCAACGAACCCAACAACCACCGGGGAACTGAAGATTACGGATGTCAAGGTGCAAATGTAGGTTGGAATGATGCACCGTATGACAGGTTATTTTCGTTTTTCTGCTACAAAGTCCATGTGGTGAGGGAGCGGAAGACCTGGGAGGAGGCTCTGGATCACTGCAGGGAGCACCACAAGGACCTGGCTAGTGTGGCGTCGGACACGGAGCTAATGCTGATGGAAAAGGAACTGGTCAAGGCTTTGATCAGCGAGCAAGTGTGGATCGGGTTGGCGTTTTTGTCCGGGCATTGGCTGTGGGTGGACGGGCAGCCGCTGGAGTATGAAGCCTGGGGTCGGGGGGTTGCTCCTGAGTGTCCCGGTCCAAACGGCTGTGCTGCTCTGCTCGTGGAGGGAGATGTTAAAGTTTGGAGTGCTCGCGGCTGTTCAACAAAGTTGTATTTTCTATGCTACTAGTATGAATAACAACGTGGAAAAGTGGTTGTCATATAACTGAGCTTTCATTCTTTAATTTCAAGGTATGATTTCTCCAACCTGAACGAATGTTGTAATACAGGGGGATTTTAGACAATGAGTATAATACAATTCAATGACAAAAAACATTTTCAGAACTGGTTTCAGCATCATTCCTATTCTGTAAAAAAACCAAACAAAATGAGAACACTCCCCTTTGCTATTTTACCCATACAATACATTGACTATTCTTATTGGTATGAAATGCAAAAGTATATATCTGTATCCACTGTCATATTATGATAACGCATCCCATGTGTTGTTGACCAAAGACTAATAGTTTGTTAGTTAAAATATCTGCATGAATAGGAAATGTGGCAAGTCATCCCATTCAATGCCAATGGACATATTCAAAGCTTCTCACGGAACACCGCCCACACGTGTTGGCCATCATTAAACACTGGAACGGGTAAATATACATGTATACAGTATATCTATTCTTATCATATACAAGCAGCCATGTGATACATTACAGAATAATCAGAGTGCATTGGTTTTGTATAGCGATTTTCACTCAAAGATGCTCCACATAGCATTAATCATTCACTTCATATTTTACGGCAATAAACCATCGCAGAAACACTTATCCACAAAATATGCAAAAGTATCGCATTTTCAAAAATTGGACATTTCAATATTCCTGCAGCAGATAACAGAGGCACAAACACAACAAACTTCAACATACGATCTTGTGTAGAAACTATGCAAACTCTAATTTCACTCACAAATTCCATCTCAAACCTGTTCAGATTGGATAGAGGCTCAACTATTCCCCGAACGATTTGGCCTTACTGTGACTTATCCTTATCATTATAATCTCCCAAGTTTAAAGCTGAATTTCCTTTGTATGTTTGAATATATCCTCGCAAAATGTCTTTCTTCGCCCATTTATCTAACTCCAGGTCACCAGAAAACAACTAGCTCATTTTAAAAGATACAATACAATACAATACAATTTATTCTTGTATAGCCCTAAATCACAACAGAAGTCATCTCAGAGGACTTAACAAAACCATTGAAATCCCCAACACAGATCAGAAAATCAACAGTTAAAACACAAAAAGAATGCTGATAAATGTCCATACATGTTGTAGAATGTTAAATTGTCCTGGATCATCACCACATCCTCCTGCTCCGGCAAGGAAAAAGTTTTATGTCAATACATTACGCAACATTTGAAAACGTCCATAACAAGTTTCTTTTACTAAGCCTGAGTCAAATTTGCTCCGTATTTTACATAAGTCAAGTGCAAGAGCAGTGTAATCGCTATTCCTTCTCAAGCCAGACTGTTTCTACTGCTGCTGCGCACATGGGCTGCAACGGGAACGTTTGTTTTTGTTCGTGAATATCATGTTTGGGAAGATGCGCTGGAATACTGTCGTACCCACCACACAGACCTAGCTCAAATCTTGAGTGAGCATGACACAAACCAACTTAGAGTCATTTCAGGAGGCTATACCGGCCACGCTTGGTTTGGACTCATGAAGAACACTAGCAGCACGAACGGATGGATGTGGTCTGCAGGGGGCGAGGTGACCACTTTCTTCTGGGACAGCGGAGAACCTCAAAACAGCCTGGTAGAGAAATACTAATAGTTACTAATAGACTACCGCTGGTATATACTACAATTACAAGGAAGCATTTTTGGGGGGATTTTATACTGAAAGACCACCACTAACTAGGCTACTTCCCCTCACCAAATATGGGGGTGGCAGCATAGCGTTATGGGGCTGCTTTTCTACAGCTGAAGATTCTACATTATTTTAACTCATGCTGTTTTCAGTTTTGGATATTGTTTACCAGTCATGCATCATTTTACTTTCACCTCACAGTAACACTTGTTGTGAGGTGAAAGTCGTGGTATCTCTGTAAAAATATCTAAAACAAAATCTCTAGGGTCACACTGTATATAGATCACATATCATATATTTGAACTTCTGAAATATATGAATTTGATTTACTAACAATTTGTTTGCTGTGTATCAAACGTTTTCCCTCTTACTATCAAAAGTAAAGACATATTATTATTGTGTATCATAAAATAAAACGTCAAAACTACTGTTTGTATTTATATCTTTTTTGATCTGCGTCAATAGCCTCTTATAAACATGTGCAAGTAGTGACAGAACGGCATTCTTAATGGTAAGTATCAAAAATAAGTGTTATTAAATTAAAGAAGAATGTTGGAAAGTCTTGCTGTAAAATAAATGCATAATTAAAAAGGCTGTAGGATGTATTGTATGTTTAACTTGTATTTTATTGTTTAACTTACCCAAAGGATTACTTTTCGTTCATCTGTATATTAGGTTTACAATTCTTCTGCTTATTCTGAGAGGAGGCCTGTAGTTTTAACCAAATGTAAGAACATGCAAACAGCTTGAAACCGTCCCACACACGTTACGCACTAGAATAGAAATGGTTTGAAAAGTAAACGCAAATGCTTACACAACACAACCTGGGAAACTTTGGTACAGAGCTCAGCATTCACAGGTTTCATACTCGAGATTAATGTGCACGCACTCGACATTCAAGATTCAAGAATTTATTTGCCATTTGCAGTGAAACCACATTGAAAAAACTACCCCTGTGTGCACCATTCTGACCCCTTTCAAAGACCATAGAAACCATATATGTTAACAATAACCAAAACATAGAAAAAATATTACATTGACCTTACATTCATCCAACTGAGGGCAAGTTTAGACCCTTCATTGGTGGGGAACAACATCTCTCTAACTCAGGAGTCTCTGATCTTAACCTACACTAGCTATGTTGAATATGTTCAAATATTCAGTATACAGTATAAAGTTCATTTGGTGTCACCTGAAGGTAGCAGAGTTTCTCACAAATATGGCTCAGAACCTCCAGCTCCTTCTGCGTCTTGGGACCATATCTGCCGTGCGGACAAAATATGTTTATGTGGAGCAGAAAAAAACCTGCTCTAAAGCTTTATCTGTAGCTCAAGAGCTAACAGTAGCCAGCCCATTTCAGGTAGCTCCCCAAAAGATTTAGAGTTCAACACATGATCGTGTCTATGCAGGAGGGTCTGTTGGACAGTTAGTGTCCAACTAGAAGGACTGTGGTAATGATCCAGGACACTTTAACATTCTTCAACATGTATGGACATTTTTCAACATGTGTTCTATATTATTTTTTGTGTCTGTTGATTCTTTGACCTGTGTCGGTGATTTCAATGGTTTTGTTAAGTCCTCTGTGATGACTACTGTTGAGATTTAGGGCTATACAAGAATAAATTGTAATTGTAAGTATAAATGTAGGGTTATACAATATTATAGTATATTTTACTTTTGTCGTAGTTATTATACAGATGTTTCTCATGAAAACAAAAAGGCAGTATATATCTCTATCACTTCTGTTGCATAAAAGTAGCTCTCCGATTGAGAATGTCAAATGTTTCTGTTAATACCAAACAGTGCATTAGTTTAGGATTAGATAATAAACTAAGTTCAATCTAAAATGTACCAACGTTTTCTGAGCATTGACCTAACCCTACACCAGCTGTGTTGAATTCTATCCAAATGAAGAGTCACAGAGTAAAGTTGTTTTAATGTCACACTGTTTTGAATACTCTCTTGTGATTTGTCAGAGGATGATCCCTACATTCAAATATTCAGTATATAAAGTTCATTTGGTGTCACCTGAAGGTAGTCGAGTTTCTCACAACTATGGCTCAGAACCTCCAGCTCCTTCTGCTTCTTGGGACCATATCTGCCGTGCGGACAAAATATGTTTATGTGGAGCAGAAAAAAACCTGGCTTGAAGCTTTATCTGTTTGTGAGAGGGACTACACCACCTTGGCCCCCGTAAACAACGAACATGACATCGACCTTCTCCGAGAACTGGGCGTGTCGACTTCGGAATACATCTTGTTTGGACTTCAGAGGAACAGGGCCGACACGAGCAAGTGGATATGGTCTGGGGGTGGAGAGGTGACACGGTTCTTTTGGGATGAAAACCAGCCTAAACCTTCTGATGTTGTCAAGCCAAGCTATGATGATCCACTGCCGAGAATTATGGAGCTATGAGAAACTACTTGTGGCATGACACAGACGCTAAGGCTTCACTCAATTTCTTCTGCTTCAGTGTGCGTGCCATGAGGGAGAAGAAGAGCTGGGAGGACGCATTGCAATATTGTAGAAGGAACCACCAAGATCTGGCAACTATCTCCTCAGAGACAGAGCTGATGATGATCCAGAAAGAGCTGAGTAAAGGGGACTCAACTGAGCACGTGTGGATTGGTCTGCGCTTTCTGTCCGAGGACTGGCTGTGGCTGGACGGGCAATCAGGGGGGTATGACGTCTGGGGTGACGGGGGAAAGCCGGTCTGTTCTGTGGAGAGGTTCTGTGGAGCTCTGATGGTCAGCCAGAAACAGTGGAACGCTCGCGATTGTAGAGAGATGCTGAATTTTGTCTGTTATTAATCTGACGTCTTTTACATAATAGATTTCTGTCGTGAAATCATTGAGCAAAATTCACATCATGAGGTTGCTTGTTGCCTCCACCACGGAAGAAAAGTGAAACAACTAACAATGTTATGGCAGGATTTGGACAATATTCAGGATATGTACGCAATGGGCTGGCGAAGAACTGATTACATTACTGAGGAGATCTCAATCTTAGTGTGTATGCAGGACTTTTGTAAGGATTGGAACTGTACCTCTCTGTGTATTTTTTTCTTATTTCTGTTCTATGTGAACGAGGGAATGGGTCAAATATAAACTAATCCTGTTTGTTTGGCGAGTTCATGTTTGTGCTGTTCATAAAGTTAGCCTGTAGAGGTGACCAACAGAAACGAGTGACATTTGATCAAATAAAAATCTTTTCACCATTTGACTCTCCTCCCCAATTTCGTTTTCAAAATTGTTTTAGTCATTGTTGATGCTGACAGTGAAATTGTTTAAAACGAGTCCTATAATTGTCTACACACACAATAATTGAGGGACAGCTCTGAGATGTTTGTGCTATGTAGTATAATCACAAATAATACACTGGATTGTTAAATATGTCTCTCTATGCCTGCCTGTAAGTGTATTCTCAGCTCATGGACCACACCCTGTCACCCTATGAGGAGGTTTAGCCAAATCAGAAACAACTGCACACATGGTTGATATACAAACAATCTCCAGGACAGCAGACCATAATAATAGAGATAACACATTCACCATGTTTTCTTTTGTTTGATCTAAAATGATGGAGACAGGTGTAGTTCAGACTGAGTATTTGATGATGAAAATGTCTGTCAAAGCGAGTCCTTATGCATAGGTATGAAATATGTGTGATGCATCATACAGTATCTGATTTCTTTCAAATCTACTAAAACCTCATACAGCCATGTCTGCAGCTCCTTCTGCTTATGGGGGCCATATTTGCGGCGCTAATAAAGTAAATAGTAAAGGAGAGTAAATAGTGTGTTAATAAAGTGTTAATCCCATTCACACTGTGAGAGCAAGCAGACCGACTTGGCATCTATAAATGTCCAAATCTGCAAGCTGGATATTATTAAGAAACCCGGGTTATGGGGGAAAACAGGAGCGACTCAATGAAACCTGTGGAGCTCTGATAGTCAACAACCAAAGGGTCCAACAGGAGAACACTACAACAAAAGACCTGCGCAACTGCTTAGCTGAATTTTCAAACACCGAAAGTAGGACAAAATTGATATACAGTATGGGTGTGCTGTTGAGACACCTGTCCTGTAAAAACGTACGCTTAACAAGTTTGGGTAGAAGCACTAAAGACATTAACAACTCAACACGTTCATTTTCTGTATTTAAAAAGCCAACTGTTTATAGAAAAACTAGGCACTTATTGACACAGCCTTAAAGTGCCTAATGATTAAGGCAGGTTGTAATCATCAATCTATAGACAGACCAAATACTTTGCAGATTGCTGTTTTAAATAAGTCAAAACAAGATGTAATCACATTGAAATCCATCACATCGCAATCCAACCGCTTTCAAATTCTACTTCTCTTTCGTTTGCATAAGTTCCAATGTTTTTATTTACTTTCGGGTCATGTCCACAAAGTTGGAACCAATAACAAAAAAGTTACTTACCGTCTTCCAAACACTAACACTCACATAATCAATCGATCGTTTAGCCTTTCCTCTATATTTGTGTTGTATAGCGTTGACCGTATAAAGCTACCCACCGCTTCTGTTTTTGACAAAGCTAACAACATTGTGCAAAAAAATCCCAAAGCAGAGAGCATAAAGCGAAAGTAAGAGTAGCACAAGACTTTTTTGTGTGTGGAAGTCTCCAGAGCATGGACCTACTCATGTTGAAGTAAGGAGTCTGAGGTGACACAGGGAAGCGTGGGGTCAGGGGGGAGCTCTCACCACCGCCTCTGAACGTGGGACTGCCACCGCTGTCGGCTTCCTCAAACGCCTCCCGGTAGCTGTGCATATGTCCCTGAAACAATAATATGGGGAAATACAGGAATACATCAAATATAATGAAAAACATGTAATGAAACCAAAGTGTAACCATATTTAAAACCTTGAGTACCTAATTTTTAGAACATATATTTTGTTTGTCCCAACAGAAACTCGTGCGTAAACTGTTGTGAACAAATCCGACCACAAGATGACGGCATGTTCATCTTTTAAACAATAAATAACATGTTTATTTGGATGGTACAGCTCGGGTTTATGAACAGCAGTAACTGTAAATATACCACACTGTGGCTATGGAGCTAATTTGCCTCTGGAGTCCCATGCAGGGAGCAAACCTATGCAGACACAATCAGAACATGCAAAATACACACACCCTGGAGGTGGAATTGAACCTTATCGTTGTGAAGCTCAAGTGCTATCCACTGGGCCACCGTGCCGCCTCAAGTTGGCAAACATTTTATCTTGGAAGGAAGCGTCCAGTGATTCACTCTGATGCTTTGAGCTGATTGGCTGAGCTAGAGCATTTGTAACTTTATTATTCATCCGTCCAATGGCAAAGCATTTTTTCATTGCATTTCCTGTGTTTGAACTGTTTGATTCTCTGATCTGTGTTAGCAAATTGACAACTTTGTTAAGTCCTCCGAGAAAACTGCTTTTGTCACTTAAAAATAAATGGAATTGAATTGGTGGACAAAAATTCATACATGTGACTACTAATAATGAACCAACGGTTTTGGGACAGATAGAGATGCAAGTTTGATGCATTTAAATGTTCTGTTCCCGGTGCAAAACTCTGGTCTCATCTGCGTTTATGACGTGTCTCCAAAACTATTAAACAAAGTCATCCACATCACCATTCATCATATTAGGGGTACATTTCATTGTACGTACTTCTCTCGGTCTTCCTCCAGGGTTGAGGGCCAAGTTCTGCGTGAAATCCGGAGAGTTAACACCGGAGCGGATTTCAAGGCTGCTCTGGTACTGGCCCTCGCTGGTGGTCCGGCGGCGTCCTGTCTCCTGGGTCAGTTCTGGTGTCATCCCTCTCGATCTAACGCCTACGTTGATCCAAAATAAACTACTAAGCGCCACAGCTGAATACGTACAAATATAATGAACCATCAACTTCATGAAGAAATGTTAAATTAAAGATGAAGTTGCAAAATGCATACAAAAAGGAAGAACAGAAAAGTGAGTGGAAAAAGGACAAACCAGAGAAGGAATAGGAGCGGAGGCGGTCAGGCTGGGGGGTGATGCTCTCACTGATGCCCTGGATTCGAGCGTTGTACTCTGGGACAGGGGCAGGGTGCGTTTGGAGGAGTGAGGCAGGAGGGCAAGTGCAGAGATGGACAGAGTGCGAAGAGAGGACAAAGAAGTGACAGTGTGAAGAGAAAATAAAAGGTGAGACGAATGAGAAAAAAGGAAGGGATTTTGCTTAAATGGATACAAATATGTTTACAAATGACAGACTTCAAACACATCAAGATTTGCACAAAAATGTTAAGCCTTCCCAAAATCATATTATTTTGAATGACAAAGTAATAAGTAACTTTACGGAGCACATATAGTCTCTGCATGCTATCTGGGTGAGGAGTGAAAGGGAGCATAACAATTAATAGTATTAATATATATATTTTTTTACCTGCAATTCTATGAGCTACCAGCCCTTCCAAGTTGAGCTCTTCTTCTGGATCTTGCTCTCTGGCTAAAGACGTAGAGGAAGTGTCCTTCAACTGGGGAGTGTGTCCTGGGATGGGGGAGGAAGAGGCACTGTAGCCTGGGTAGGGAGATGAGCCCTGGAGGTCTGGGGAGTGGGACATGGGTCCTCCCTGGTACGAGTTCATAGGCTTCTGCTGGTTGAAACTGGACTGTTCGCTGTAGTGAGGCGTCGCCTGTCGAGAATGGACATAGGGCTCTGGGGTTTGCGAAGGGGTGGCGTTTTGGTAGCCAGCATTGGGTCGTTGCGGTAAGAAAGCAGAGGATTCTATGACAGGACTCGGGTTGGGGATTGCTGAAACCCCCCCAGGCGACTGCTGTGGTTGGTGGAAGGCGTTGTTGACCATACCAGAATTGTTAACACCATGGATAGCAGAGTCTGCCTGGTACGATGGTCTAGTCAAAGTTTGGGAGAAAGGAACTTGGGACACGCTGAGGTGGGATTCCCCTGTTGGTGCGCTGTGGGACTTGGAAATGTGGGAGTTGATGGGGTCGAGATCTAGCATTAGCATGTTTAGGGCTTCAATGGACTGCTCGATGTCCCGCTGAGAGGCTGTAGTTGGAAACTGGGGGAGGCTATGGGTGGACTGCAGAGGAGGACCAAATGGATCGTCGGGGAGACTGTGCTGGTGCCAGTTGGTGAGCCCTCGTTGAACCGCCTCTCTGCTACTCGTGCTCCTCTCTGGGGCCCTTGGCATCAGCTTGGGATTGGTCTCCGGACTGCTGCCAGCCTGGTTCCCAAAGGACTGCGAGCGGTACATTCCATTCCCATTTTCATAGCTGTTATATCCTCCCTGTGGAGATGGAGAGTCGACCCCGTGTTCTTGCATTGTTGTGGGCATTCTCGAACCGTGTACAGGCATCTCCGTCAATTTCTCACCCCCTCTCTCAAGGTAGGGGCCGTCGTTTTGGCTCACTGGAGTTTGCGATTGATAGTACAGTTCTGCTGGAGTAGCTTGACCATCTATAGAAGAAATTGTCCCTAAGCTATCAACGCTATTTCCTTCCTGACTGTTTGGCAATTCGTCATCAAGGATATCCGTCTCTCGTTCTTCTGTGGGCGCATTGATCACTCTGTTATGTCCCCCATTGACATGCACCTGTGCTGGAACAAGATGCCTCACTCCTCCCCCTGGGCTGGTTGATGTTGACAGATATGCTTGACGTTGGTTCGGAGGTTCGAGTCCGCTCAAAAGCTGGTCCAGTTCTCTCTTCTCTTGTGGACTGAGGGGCGGATGGGTCACTACCGGGTTGTTGGCGTTCACGCCACCCTGCAGGGGCTGGCTGTGCTCATCAGTACGGTCGGTCTTGATGGAAGCAGTAGAGTTGCCCGAGTCGCTGCTGACGGAGAGAGTGTGGTCGACAGCGGGAAGTGCAGTGGGGCCGGTGACGGGAAGGGTTTGGTCGGTTGTTTGGAGTGAGTGATTGGTGGTCTGGAGGGAGGTTTCTGCATTGGTCAGAGGATTTTCGTGAACTGGAAGACCGTTGATGGTGACCACTCCCTCCAGGGAGTCCTTTTTGCGGATTCGGGCATATAGGCTTCCGTCGATAGGGCCTTGAGTGTGATCAGCATCTGAAAGACAAAAAGGCCTTTTTTAAACCAAAGAGTCCAAACATGCATTCTTTAAGGACAATTGCATTGGTGTCTAAATTTGTCAAGTAATCAAGTAATTATTTAGGCAAATATCAGACCAAGAAAAGAACAATCCAAGTGAGCGCAAATTCATGAGCAAATATAAATAGTTGTGGCTGGTCCAAGTAGATCCAAACATGTAAAAGGTTTGAACTTCATACCTGTACACTTTTTCAGTAATTCAATAATTGGATGGAACACATGTTTCATTTAATTTCTTTTCATTTTTTAAATAATAATTACCATGCTTTTCAGTCAAAATCCTACCCTACCTCTTCTGTAAGCATATATTTTGACCTAAAGCTCGAGCATGGGCCCCAGCTCCTCCAAAGCTATAAATAGCAAGTTTGCTGGACTCAGGCCCCTGTCACGTTGCGTCAGTGTTGGGCTACAAGCTCTACTGGCAAGGATGAGATGTCTATTTACTGAATATTGGTCTCTGGCTGGTGAATCATGTTAGCAAGATAGCTTGAATGTAGCACAATGCCATCACTGGGTCTATAAAATCTAAATATAATACTGAGTAACGCATTACAATAGTACCATGTGCAGCACATTGTTTGAGCCTCCCTACACCAGAAAGGTGATTCCAATGGACGCTTATGCGCTTGCAAAGTGATCCTGGACATATATACATGTCTGGGGCCTATGTGAGCTTCCAAATTGAGCGACCCTAGGGACAGATGGTGGATCACTCCGACCACAGCTATTTCAAAAGCCATGTCAACAACAGCTCTGAACCGACAGTAGCGGCAACAAGTCAGGAAGCTAGTCTGATAGCTGTAAACAAATGGCCCCATGGTGGTCAATCACGATGACACAAAGATTAATTCTCCACTGAATGGCATGTCTTCTTACTCTATGACAGGCTAGTTCCGGTGAAGCAGAGTAAACACATGTATTATCTTTCACTTTTGTATGAACGTTTTTTGTTTTGCTGCTTTAATGTCCTTACAGTATGGGTCAATGTAGTTTTGTAGTAGTTTTGAGAATTTGCCACGTTATTATAGATATAAATGAGTGAATCAATACATTCTGGGATAATAGAAACAATCTCCTTACCAGTTGGTTAACCTTGAATAATCCACTATTGCTCAAAATATGAATCCAGATGTGTATCCACTTCATATGCATTCACAAAGCTAGTTTGTAGAACACATCCTCTCAGTATCTCCTCTAGGACCAAACTCAGCCAGCTTCTTGTGTTATGATTCATGTCCTGCCCAGTGTTGCCAACTCCTCAGTAAGGAAAGTAGCTATTGGCTGTCCCAAAAGTCGCTAGAAGTCGCTAAATGACGTCATCGCCTAATTTGCATAATTGGCAATTTGCAAATGACTGTAACGGACGCTGAAGGAGAGAGGAATAATGTCGTGGGAGAGACGAAAGTGAGTAAAAAACACCCTAAATATGTTTAGAACTACAAATGTACAAAAATAATTTCAACATTTAATGATTTTAATGCTTTGTCTAGATCTGTCGCTAGTCGCTTTTTTGAAAAAAAGTCGCTATAGGGTCTGAAAAGTCGCTAAATCTAGCGACAAAGTCGCTAAGTTGGCAACACTGGTCCTGCCCTCACAGCATGAGGGGCTCGTGGGGCTGTACCACTGCCTCTGCGGAGGGGGTGAGCTGGCACTTAGCTCTATGGGTGGGACATTTGCTGAACTACAACTCCCCTGTGGGACCTGTGGAATGTGCCTGATGACATCACCAAAGGGGATCCCCTTCATCAGTGTAAGGTTTCCAACCAAGGCTACGCTGTTACTGTGGGCTCAAATATATTATAATCATTAACAGAATCAATAATGAGATTGTAGCAGCAAGGCATGTACTGTATTTGGATAGCACCTCAAAAAGACATGATAAAGCTCATCTCTCTAAACCAACACACTTTAACTTCCTGGTAATAAGATCATACTTCTGGGTATATTGGGAGCCCATATAGAAATAGTTCCATATTGTCTAGAGAGCATGTATAATTTAGCATACATTTACATGAAGGAATGAGTTTTAGTTGGATGTGGGCATCTGGCAGACAATGTGGAGCATGGTTGGAAGCTGTGAAGGCTCACAGGGTCGCAACCTCTGGTCTCAGTTCTAATTTGTGGTATGATAACTTGCTACTGGTTCTTTTTTTTCCAGAATTACAGGCAATATTTAGAAATATATAGATTTTACATCCTCCAGTACAGAAAAGGTTCAGATAGTAGTTCTGGGATAGCCAAAGTATTCTTAGGAGAGAAAATAGTTTATAAGAATCCAAAGAAAGAATAGAGCAGGAACTTCCACCGAGAGGCATTCAGGCACATCATCATCATTGGAGCATTGAGAATTACATATTTGAGGACTCTTAAGTGTTTTTTCTCACTTCTGTCTTAAAACCTCCCAGGGTGGCATACTGTATGTCTTCATAGAATTTGGAAGAACACTCAATGTGGGCTTACAAATATTTATATATGTATATATATATATATATATATATAATAATTATTATAATTTTTTTCATTGTATTAAACTAATTTTACACAGTTATTGGGGGAATTTGGGTGAATAATGTGTGGACTTTGGTCATTCATTTGAAATCACTGTAAGAGGTTCCTCTGCTGTCCTTCGTGTCACACTCACATTCACGCACATACACACCGCTAAAACTTACCCTACAACGCTGCTCTGATTCTGTGTGTTTAGCGGCGCCTTCATTTTATAACTACTGGAGCTAAAGCTTTCGCATTCCTCTCCTTCCTCTGCTTCAATAGTCTGTCTAAATTCTGTAGAATATTTTTCATCTCTGCAATGCAAATCCCTATACAATCCATGCAGTGAGGGATTATCTTTGGCCGTACAAGCAAGCTGAGCGCTCTCCATCTGAATAGAATAAATAGCTTTCTTCTGGTGTCAATAAATAGCTACAGCAGGCCTCAAATTAGCTTGGTTGAGTCACAGAGGCTTTACTCACACAAATAGACCAACACTTGTTTCCGACTGTGCCTATTCCCAACGCCTTTAAACATGACAAAGTTGAGAGCATGTACAGCCAGATCACTTCACCAAATCTTCACCAAAATCTTAAAAATACAACACTATTAATAAATTTGTATTTAATTCATACACAAAACTATATTTCTGTAAAAAAAATGTTATTACCACTGATAAATGAGCCACCCAGTTGATTAATATACTGTACATATTTTTGGATGGAAAGACTTGAGCAGGTCTCTCTGACCATTATCACATTAGCATCACATAAGTGAAAACAAAAGTATAGATTTGGGAGAGACATTAGTGGATCAGGAGTGGTCGGGAGAGGCCTACGGTGGCACATACAGTCTTGAAAACTTGAGCCTTTGTGGGGCCTCCTGCATGGGAAAGCCAGATTCTGTCAGACCACCAAGGTTAAGCAGGGAGTGACCTGGTTAATACTGTGATGGGAGACCTGTGAGAATACAAGGTACTACAGTAGGGTAGCTGTGGATGTGAAATTCCAAATTACCATTGTGTTCTTCGGCAAGACACTTCACTCACTTTTGAAACTGATTTTGTTGGTCAATTTCAAATGGGCAATTGTTTCCTGCACTTGTTTTATTCCCTTTCTTCTTATGTATGTACTTGTTTGGTGCACACTGGGGACATTTGTACATGTATGTGGTCTTACTGCAAATGGCAAATAAAATGAATCTGAATCTGACGACCATTTAGTTGATTAAAACAACTCCATGCAAATAAATTCATGCCTCTCTATGTCGCCTTAAACCAATAAGAGACTTCTTAGACATCATGGATGAGCTTTACTGACCAGGGAACACAACAGCATGTCATGGGACCATGCTTCTACTAGATGCAAGCATGACCATGGTGGTCATGACCATCGTGAGACAGGTTAGTTTTATCCTACTGATGATGTGTTGTTGCAATAGTAATCTCGTCATGTTTTTATTGCTTTCTCCTAAATTTGGTGCCTCTCCAGAGCTCTTCAGCTCTCACCAGTACAAAAAGTCAAAGTGCTTGCTATCCTCCCTCCACATAAACCTGTTATTGTCATATGACAGGTGCAGCACGCTCGTGAACGGACCGTCAGCCGTTGCTCATCCCCACCACCTGCCTTCGGCTCGTGTATTCTCTTAAGTGTTGTTCTTAGGGTCTCATTGCCACGCTGCAGTCGCCGAGGCCATTAAAAAGCCATTGGAGCACCTGTGGCCAAATGGTTTATTATAAATAGAAACGGGCCGAGGGTAATTTGTTGTGGAGCAGCTGGGAGGAGGGTTGCAAACTGTGATGGCACATGTAAAATCAACAAACAGGCGGATCGACTGCGGCCATTTGTAAGATCTTTTCAATCATCAACCGTTGGCTCATCACACGGGGGACGAGAACCGTCAAAGATGAGCCACTCTGAAAATATTCGTAAACAGTTAAAGCAGGCACACTGAAAGCCGGTGAACTGATGGGCTGGAGCAGAATTGGAACACATTTTTACAGAACAAATTTTTACAGAAAATCTCACGGATATGAATAATAATATTGTATCACTTTTATACAGTGCTCTTTTGGACACTCATAGATGCTTCACGTTTCGTTATTCTTTCACTCCGTACACGGTGGTGATAAACTATACTGTAACCAAAGCTGCCCTACACCATGCCCTGCCCTGCTTAGCTTCAGAAGTCTGATGGGATCTGGCTTTAACATGCAGATGGACACTGAAGTATATAACACTGCTTCCCTGTCACATCAAAAGTATGGAATTAAGTTAGCAAATAGTGGATTTTGCCCCTTTGATGCAAAATGAATGTGGAATGCCAATGAATCACCGTCGTATCACAGATTTAGAGAAGAAAATCACAAACAAGATCCCAACAAACTATGGTTCCTCCCTGAGATGTAGGGGCACTAATAATAAAAATAATTAGCGTTTACTTCTGTTTTTTTAACCCCCTAGTTTTTA